TAGGAACTAATGCATATAACTCTGAATGCATGCAATAATTGAGTAACCAACACTACTGTAGCCATTACACATGCTCCAGTTGTCTACAGTAGGGGGTATAAAATGGCTGAGGGATGGTCAGTAAAATAAACATGCCAGGCACAGACTGTCAACAGCAGTACAGGTGTGTTGAAGTGGATACTTCTTGTATGAAATACAGAGTAAGCACAATCATGTCTGTGGTTTTAGACAAACATATTAAATTGTCATGTTATATAAGAACTTGATGCTTAATTTGGAAAAACCTGCATTTTAATTTTTTATGCATCCTCCCGTGAGTCTGCTTAACAACCTTGCTTTTTATTTCGTTTTTATTTTTGCTGTCTTGGAGCTAGGCTTATTTGGAAAGCATCTGGGATTGCAGCCCTAAATACCCAGACGTAAATAATAATAATAAAACTGATCCAAATCTATTTCTTTTTTATGCCAAAATCATCTAGACTTGCAGGAAGCAGACCAAACACGAGTACAAAGAAACTCCATTTCATACCAAAAAGTCTGGCTACAGAACTACCAAAGTAACAAAGGTACGATTTGGCAGAGGTACAAATTGGCATTAAGCCAGTTGAAACCCTACAGCAGGATTAGAGGTCTAAATGTTGCTTTAAAGACTGAGTAATGCCCATGCTGTGGAACAGTACTGTGTGCCTATCACGAGATGTAAAAACTGAAAAGTACTGAGTAAACAAGATTGTACTCTTTTTAGGCGTTGACCCTACAGCGTTGAACTGTTTGTCATGTAAGTGGTGGCTGATCAGACCCAAACGCAGACACAATGTGACAGGTTCTGGATCTCAGCAGGAATAATAATAAGACCAGAGGGTGGCCTGATGCTTGATGAGAGGCAGGTGTGTGGAACTGGAAGGACACATGAGCAGATCAATACAATGAAAACTGCAAGAATTAAATCCCCACATTTAGCTTTGTCTACGCTACACACTTTAAAACCCTTTAAATGTTCTTTAACTTCTAAAACGTAGAGCCATCCTTATGTTTTTTTTATTTATTTGTCCGTCCTGATCCTTTTGCTATTAAAATTGAATCATGTGCTGAAAAGGTTATCTCTGAGGTTATCTCAAAGAAAAAAATACTGGTGTAATAAAAACTGTTTTGAGAGTCTTTATCCCAGCTCAAAACATTATTTATGTTTTTTTTTTGAATATTCATAATGTGGATGTTTGTCACCCAGTGGTGCAGTATGGATATTTCAGAGTGTAAAGACTCATGACTGAAGATTTTTCTAATAAACAGAGTAAATTTATATAAAAGCTTATAACACTATTCAGAATGGTATAGACTGACACAATGAGCCCAGTATCCTGACAGTATTAACATTGCATTCTGCTTTATTAACATTATGGATTTATTTTTTGTGTAATTGCTGAGTCAGCACCATTGTTTTCCTGTTTGTAGTTTCTTCCATACCTTTTTTCAGGCTGTAAGTACTTCAGAAGTACTGTAATTTGACTTGTTTAAACCATTCAGCTCGTTAAGGTCATTGCAGCTATGATTGTTTTTGTTTTTGTAACTTTTATATGTTTTGAAATATTTAACTTTTGTTTGAATTTTTTTTTCTCATTGGAATGAATGGAGAACTTTTTAAATCCTTGAAATATATTTATATATATGGATGCACGGTGGAACAGTGGTTGGAGCCGTCACCTCTCAGTAATCAGGTCACAGGATCACCTGTGGGTTTTCTCCTGGTCCAGTGGTGACTCTAAATTGTCCCCAGAGGTGAGCGAGAGCGTGAATGTTTGTCTCTATGTGTCCCTGTGATGGACTGGAGACCTGTACAGGGAGTCCCCCTCCCCGCCTCTCACACAGTGACTTCTGGAGCTCCTGGAAAAAAAGAAGGGCGTAAAGAAAACAGGTGGATGAAATCTACTTTGGTATTCTTGCATCATTTTAAAAGTTTATGTAGCTCGTTTTAGCTTTTGTTCTAAACTTCAGTTTCTGCTCCTTCAGCAAATTTCAGCGTTATTTTGGAACTTTGAAGTTAGCCACGCCCCAGTCCGATCCATTATGAACATGTGTGCAGGTCTGTCCTCTCTCGCTCATCAGTCTGTTATATCGTCTTTCTGGAACCATTTTATCTTTTGTGTTGATCTTATTTTAGTAATAATGAGCCTCATGCAAGAACATGTTCGTTTTCTTATCCTAAATTTCTCTTACTTTTGTTCGTACAAAGGGTTCGTACGAACATGTCACGTCAGATTCAACAAACACTTCTATCTTCAGGAAAAGTGTGTAAATGAGCTGCGTAAATTCACCTGTTCGTATCCAGCTGCTCGTGCACGCGAGAGGAGATTAGCATAATTACCACCCCAAAAACACCATATAAGGCTATGCCTCAGATACAAGGAAGTGTTCATTCATTCATGAAAAATGACAGCGAAAACTAAAAAGAACTTTACGAGTTCAGAGATTGAAGTCCGTCTGTCAGAGATCCAGAAAATAAAATCTGTCATTTTTAGCAGGTCAGCTGTGGGATAAAAAGAGCTGCTAAAAGTATAAACAACTGTGTTAAATCATTTTCATTTATTCAGAAGACACAGCGCTGCGCACCGTACCCCACCGCGCGCGCGGTCTCAGGTGGTCTCAGTTGCGGTTCTGAAATAAGCATTTTAAAATGATTTCAAAATATGTCTGGCAATTTGGAGAAAATCCAGGAGTCGCTGGAGGGATTATGTATCCCCTCTGGCCTGGGAACGTCTCGGAGTCCCCCGGGACGAGCTGGAAGGTGTCGTTGGGGAGAGTGGGGTCTCCTGCTGCCCCCGTGACCCGATCCCAGATAAGCCGGCCGTACGGACAATTTATATTGTTAGTCTAAATTGTTACATTTAAAATCATAACTCTAATTCAAGCAGAATAGCCTATTGTCAACATAATTATGGAGTGTGATTTATTTTCAACTCAAAATATCTTCAAACTAACGAAATATAAAGTTATTAGTGAAGAAAACCCGTCTGGATAACAGCAGACTGACTGCTCGTAAAATATACGACAGGTCTGGACCACTCGTGAATTTTGTTCGTATCTGAAAAAAATCTTAGAATACGAAAACATTGGTGAATGCCACAAATTCTCCTAAATCACTCGTACGCACAACTTAAGAACAAATCTGTGCGTACGAACAGTTCTTGCACGAGGCCCAATAACAATGCTCACATCAGTGTACTGGAATTATGTCGTCTAAGATTCGGACGTATCTCGAAATCAATGATTCCCAAAAATTTCAGCTTCCAACCCTCTAAATAACAGCATCAGAGACTTGTGACCTCTATTATCCTTGGTTAATAAGTGTAAAAATAACTATTTGGCCAAATAAACATGAACAAAATGACATCAACCACTGCTAGGAAGTTATTGTAGTTATAGTTATTTTATCACAAAAAAGCATTTTAAAAATATTGTTCCTAGAAACCATCTCAAGACCCAGATGTCCCTATAACCCTAACTTGACCCATAGAAGCCTAACTTTGTGCAGTTTGAACTCAGCCAATCAGAACCATCCAACACATGGTTTATAAACACAAATAATAAATGAAACAACCGTGTAAGTTTCTGTTAGGAAGAGCTGGACCTTCAGCATGGAAGTTTACTTTGGAAAGGGCTACTGCTCAAAACTGGAGCAGTTTAATAATAATAAAAAAAAACTTTGACAGCTTTTCTTTTCTTTTGCATGCAGGCTTTCAAAGCAACTATGTGTATTTATATCAAATGAGAAAGAACTGAACTTACAGTCTGTTCATCGTTAAGATTTCTTTTCCTTTATGAATGTATCATAGTTTGACAACTTTTCTGAACATGTGCATCTGACATTTTATTCATCCGCTTTAGGGGTATTAACGTTTGGTAATATGTCTTGAGAAGCATATTTATCATTCTTATCAGATTCTAATGAATTTATTACTGGAAATGAGTATGTTTCCTTATGCAAAACTATACCATTAATAAACAAGCTATTCAACAACTCATAACTTTGTGTTGGTTTTTTACTGTCCACTGCATATGAAGTTTTTTTTACACATTTGTGACCAAAATATCTCATGAATTACTGAACCAATTTTAATGAAACTTGCAGAAAATACTTATTAGATGTACATCTACAACTGTTTACTTTTTTATTTAAATATATAAAACTTATAAGGACACAGAGAGAACTCAGTGGGAAAGTGAACTCTAGTGGTCTATTCAAAGCCATTTGCTCAAGTCAGCATCCACTCCTGCTCTGCAAAAAACAACCCACTCGACCCGATCACTGCAAAGACTGGCTATGGATACTGGCTCCAAAGTGCAACAATCATCAGACGACTCCTCTGTATGCCAAGAATGAACGAGACATTGAATTGCTAATCTGCCTCACCAGGACGTACAGCAAGGATACTGGGACGTTATTTAAACTGAAATATTTAAACCACTTGAAGGCAAGTATGTCCCATCTGCATTAAATGATATACAGGTTATATTTCCATGATCTGTCTCACTTGATTCTCTATTTTTTTTAAAATACATTCTAAATAATCTGGCAGTTATACATAATTACTTATGTTTCAGGAAGGTGAGATTCACATTAGTATTTATCACTGTAGGAAAAATGGGATTTTTGATGTATTTTTGACAGCATATAGAGGACATACAAAAGGATCCCTTGTTCAATCATTTATGAACTAATATATTACAATATTCACAGATGAAACATAATGTCCTGTGAATATCCAATAATTAGAACAAATAATGGTCAAACATTGCACTCCTTCACCGAGTTCAGGTTTTAAATCTACAGTAATATGTTCTGTTGCCTTTCTGGCAAAAATGGCACTTTTAAAGATGGCCGACACAAAATTCTCGTCTCGTTAGCTTTAAAGCCGGGGGGGCTTGTGTTTCCTCAGTGCTCCCGGCCAGCAGGTGGCGCAGGCGCAAAGCGTTTGTAGGCTCTTAAACTCCCGGAAGTATAAATAAACAACGACGGCGGCTGAAAGGCGGCAAAGTATGAAGATGAAGAGCAAACAAACGAATGAAGGTGTCCTTTGGAAAATTAACTAAATATTTTAGGTTAAACTTTTGTTTTTTTCTTGTTTAAGCCGTCTGAGTTATGGAGCAGCTGTTCAATAAAGTGTTACAAGTCATCGTGAGGTGTAAAGACTGCGAGGAAAGGTAAACAATTTTATTTTTGTTTTGTTTGTTACACCTGGCCGCAGTCAGATGGCACAACTTTATTATTAGATAAACGTTTCTAAACTTCACTAAAGTCAGCAGTTAAAGTCATCTTAATGCTGACACAGCAGGGTTCAGGTTGGTGTGTTAACAGCAAAGGTCATTAATGTTACAAAAACAAACAGATTTAAAATAGCCTTAATGAGACCGTGTATTTAGGTTAAAAAGTGCAGCCTTTTTAAAAAAATCTAATTTTTGTGATAGTAAAAGTCCTGAATTATCACAAAGTTCATATTCAGTAGAAATAAAAGTCTTGAATGTCTATTGAACAATATGAAAAGTTGTCATCACAAAAACTGTCATGAAGCAAAAGTGCAGCTGATTCACACCTGTTGTGTTGGGATTAAACTGTCATGACACACACATTAATCCAGGAATTATTCCAGTTAATAAAAACCAGCAGAGTTTAGACGTTTTTCAGTTTGTAGACCTGTTACAGTAGGTATGTGACAAAAATGGGAAAAAGTTCACAAATTGTGTTAAAACCCACTTTATTGAATGCAAATAATACAAACTTTGTTCAAATTGGTCAAGAAAAAAAAGTTATGCAATTTTATTGGAATAAAACTGGCAAATTTTGACGCCGATCATAATATACCTCCTGCGTGTCTTAAAAATACACTTTAGAGTCAACACATTTTTAATTAAAGCTGAGAGTTTACGTTAATCTGCGGCAGGACTTTTGATCACTGGAATCTCAAAAAAAAAGCGTCAACTCACCTGTCCCAGTGATTGAGGATTGTCACGTGTGGCTGTGAAAAAGTGTTCACCCCTCTACAGCTTTGTCTCTTATGAGATGAGTCACAGTCTCCTAATCCATCATCAGTAGGGGTGTAAGAAAATATCGATACACTGAAATATCGCGATATTTCTTTTTCTGATACTGTATCGATATTCTAAAGTCCTGTATCTATTTTTTAATTAAGGTTTAAAACGTCAACTTTCCTGCCAGCCGTTCATTTTTATGTTGTAGTTCAGCYTCTGACCACTAGTTGGCAGCAGTGAGCCAGCCATTTGGCTCCTCTACCTCTTGAGCGCCAGAGAGTAAGGGTAGCGTTAGCATTGTGGGTAAACATTAGCTTCATGCTCCGATGGCTGAATCTGAGCAGAAAAGACCGACACCCTCTGCCTTCTAAGCTGAGGTAAGGTTACAAACAGTTACTTATTTGTCAGAATGTCTGTATTTTAAGACAAATTAAGTGTCTCGTGCGCTCTTTTTTCCAACTTTAGTCAGCTTTCACATTACAGAAGGCTAGCACATGTCTATGTAATAGAATTTTCTGAGACAATGAATTTTAGTTTTTCTTTTCTTTTTCAGTAAGAGGTTTTCATTTAATAGACTTTTTAGACAAAAAATAGCAATATCGCAATATATCACTTTGCTTACAGTATCGCAATATATCGGGATATATCGGGATATATCGTATCGTGACCCCTCTGTCATGATATGTATCGGATCGCCAAATTCTTGCCAATACACAGGCCTAATCATCAGTGGATTAGGACGCCTTATTTTATTTCTTTTAACAGGAGAGCCAACATCCGAGTCACCATTGAGCTTCAGCTGACAACCAGTCCCGTGCATAAAAGGGTATGGATTTATTTAACGTATCATTCAAGCTGGATCCACATTTAGGGCGTTTATTCAAACAGTTTATTTGTTTTAATTATTTCAGGATCTTCTTGTGAGATTAACTGATGATATAGATCCATATTTTCTCTTCAATCTTTCTATATCAGAAGAAGATTTCCAGAGGTGAGGACTGATGAAAGCAGATTTTCAGTATTGCTTTAAAATCTAAACACAAACACTTGTTCCTGTTTTTGTTTGTGTAGTTTGAAAGTGCAGCAGGGCCTCCTGATAGACTTTGGGTCGTTTCCTCAGAAGTTTATCGACCTGCTGAACTTGTGCTGCTCGGAGCAGGAGTCAGACTGTCCCAGGTACCGAGAAATACATGTGTCAGAGCATTCCAGTGGTTAGATAAATATATAAACATCTGGCTCAGAGCTTAGAGTGGTCTCTGCAGTCCAACCAGCCATTCTTCGAAAGGTTTTTGTTTTTATGTTCATGGAAAGTTCTACAAACACAAAAACCTCATGTAGGCTTTGTGTTTGTCTCTTAGCAGAATATTTCATAGATCACTGCAAAGATCTTAAAGTAATCATTAAATGACCAACTACAACTGATTAACTTTTGTAGCCAGTGATGGCAGCCACAGCTATCTGACCTTAGAAAACACCACTGAACAGCCAACACAAAAATGCCATTCACATGTAGACAAAATCCAGAGCTCCATCAGACTGTAACAGAAAATCTGCATATTCTCCTCACGTTTTTTTCTTCTTCTGCAGTTTTAAAATACCAGCTAAACTTAGCACAAAACATACAGTGGTTTGCAAAAGTATTCATACCCCTTGAACTTTTCCATATTTTGTCACATTACAACCACAAACATAAATATATTTCACTGGAATTTAATG